GAACTGCAGGAGGAGCGCATCAAGAAGAGGTGCCTGGACCTCAGACGTCGTGTTTCTTTCCAGCCATCCTATGGTGTTGGGTCCTCGTTTTGAAAAGACAGCGCCCCGCGTCTCCTCCTTCCTTCCTCCTCACCCTCTTCCCTCCTCCTCCAACTCCTCGGTCCTCCGCAGTTCGCATGAGTTTCTCCCCCCCGGTACAGCGTGTCATGGCCCCAGAGGGAGCTCCACCGAGGGTCCCAGTGGCGCAGTTCGCATGCGTCCCCCCCAACCCAGGACAGCGGTTCGTGGCCCCAGACGGAGCTCCACCGAAGGTCCCAGTGGCGCAGATCGCATGCGTCCCCCAAACCCAGTACAGCGTTTCGTGGCACCAGAGGGAGCTCCACCGAAGGTCCCAGTGGCGCAGTTCGCATGCGTCCCCCCCACCAAGTCAAGTACAGCGTTTCGTGGCCGCAGAGGGAGCTCCACCGAAGGTCCCAGTGGGACAGTTCGCATGCATCCCCCCCACCCAGTACAGCGTTTCGTGGCACCAGAGGAAGCTCCACCGAAGCGCAGTTTGCATGCGCCCCCCCGCCCAGTACAGCGTTTCGTGACCCTTCAGGAACTCCTCCGAAGGTGCCAGGTGGCGCAGTTCGCATGCGTCCCCCCCGCTCAGTACAGCCTTTCGTGGTCCCAGAGGGAGATAAACCGAAGGTCCCAGTGGCGCAGTTCGCACGAGTCCCCCCCCAACCCAGTAAAGCGCTTCGTGGCCCCAAGAGGGAGATCCACCGAAGATCCCAGTGGCGCAGTTAGCATGCGTCCCCCCGCCCACTACAGCGCTTCGTGGCCCCATGGGGAGCTCCACCGAAGGTCCCAGTGGCGCAGTTCGCATGCGTCCCCCGAAGCCAGTACAGCGTTTCGTGGCCCCGGAGGGAGCTCCACCGAAGGTCCCAGTGGCGCAGTTCGCATGCGTCCCCCCCAACCCAGTGCAGCGTTTCGTGGCCCCAGAAGGAGCTCCACCGAAGGTCCCACTGGCGCAGATCGCATGCGTCCCCCCCACCCAGCACGGCGTTTCGTGGCCGCAGAGGAAGCTCCACGGAAGACGATACTCACAACTGCGGTACTCACAACTGCTTATGGTTGGGTTCTTCGCCAGGCGAATTTCAATACGGAGTCCCCCCGGCTCTGAACCACTTCCCGGGGACCCGGTTCTCATCCCGAGCAGTTCTGTGTCGGCCCCCAGGGCCCAGCGAGGGCCCCGGAGGCCGCAAATTAGCAGAAACCTTGCGCCGTTTTTTTGTTCCACGACGCGAGCGGAGAGCATGCTGCTACGCATGAGACAAATGCCAACGGGAACGGTCGAGGAGGAGGCTATGATGCATCTTTCGATGTTGAGCTGGCTATGCTTCGAGTCAGAAAAACGCCATACACATAAAATGTTGGGGCTCCATGCGGATTTCTTGGATCCGCGCTGGACGCCCCCTTCCTGGCGCGCGGAGCGCGCCAGAGGCGGCGCCGGAGGCGCCGCTGGGGGGGGGGCAGCGAGCGGATGCGAGAAATCCGCGCGGAGCGGCAAAAGTTTACTGCTGATGGCGTTTATTATTAACATGCTTCTTCTTAATATCATTACCTATACGACCACCCTGCGGGTTATAAGGAGGTTGTGGGGGGGTGGGGGGAGGGGGGTGGCTCATGACGGCGGGCAACCGACGGGCAACCGACGGGGCAACGTGGGCTACCGACGGGCAACCGGCGGGCAACCGACGGGACAACGTGGGCTACCGCTTGACAAGGCCAGGGGGGGAAACATTTGTGTTGGCGGACCCCTAGCGACAGCAGAGTGAATTCCTCTCGCTGGCCCACGCAGCTTCGCCTCGCCCGCACGCACGGCACGAGCACGAACTCGAAACTCGATTTCCTGGTGGGGGGACTCCGTTACACTGCGATCTCACCCCCCAACCTCCGATCATTTGTATTATTACTATTCTTCTTTTAAGTATGACTAACACTATTATGCTGCTTCCTCTTACAATATTATTCTATTATTCGTATTCGCATAACTACTACTATCATTCTCACTCGTCTTCTTATTGGGCTTCGTCGTATCAATATGTTATCCTTCCTCTTCTTCTTCGAAGGATGGCCCAATCGTGCCCACCCCGCCCGAGGAGGTGCCGCCACGGGCCGGCGCCCGGGGGGGGGGGGGCGGCGGCGCGCGCCCCTCGCGCTCTCTCCCTCGCGCGGCGCGCGCGGCGCGGCGAGGGGCGGAGGGGCGGCGCACGCGGCCCCCGGGCCCGCGATCGCGAGGAGGCGGCTCGCGCTGCCTGCGGGCGTGGCGTCAGGTCGGGCTGTGTCTCGAGGGGCCCAAGGACACACAAAAGAATACACACACACGAATAACCGGATTCCCCATCTGTTCCTATAGTTTCTGGTTGTGTGTCTTCCCCCCCACTTCCCGTAGCTTCCCATCTTTTCGGGGGAATCGACGATTACTTGTGTCTGTGTGAGTTTTTCCCCTCCTGAGTGTCCTCCTGCAGGGGGAGCTTGGACGAAAAATGCAGAAGAATCACAAAAATGCCCCCCAAGGGTCAGAAACAGTCAAAAAAAACATCCCCCCCGACTAGTCTTTGCTACTGTTGGATATTCCTCCTGTAGGGGGACACGCCCGACTCAAGCGTGGCGGCGAGCAGCATCTGGGGGCTGCCGGCTCGGCAACGTGCCCGCCGGAGCGGGTCCAGACCTGATCGCGTCGTCACGAAAAGTCAGGACTGCAAGCTTTTCGTGAGGTTCGGCCCCTGGGGGTCCTCGCCGGGCACCTGGACCGCAAAAAAACGGCTCGGGATAAAAAAAACGGCCCATGGGAAAGGGTCTGGACTTCTGGGGACGCCGTGCTGAAAAAATCAGGACGTCGCATGTCTGTTGAGAGAAGGGAAGATGATCAGGCTAGAATCGACGGCGAGAGAGGGGAGGAAGCGAGAAGGGGCGGGTCTTCTCAAAGGCTCGGAAGTATCCTGGCCTACCGAGGAGTTTTCTGAGTCCTCCCCGAAGACAGAGCAACCATTCTCAAAGGCGCGAGGGCTTCTGAGAAGTCCCGCCGCTTTCTGAGAAGGCTTTCTCCTTCTCACTTCCCCCCCTCGCCCGCCGCCGACCGCAGAAGCAGAGAGAGAGAGAGAGAGAGAGAAGCAGACGATCAGGCCAGAGGGAAAAAGAAGTGCAGTCAACAGGTAGTATTTCGGGGCTCCCAGCGGAGCTCTTCGAGCGCTGGAACTCCCCTGGGGTGCGTTCTAACCAGAACTTCGGTGCGAGGCCAGACGTGGCGATGAGGCGAGGGCAGCGGCGCGACGATGACAGACGA